GCCTCTAGCAAAACTCACAAAGAAAGGGAGAGAGAAAACCCTAATAAACCGAATCAGAAATGAAAAGGGGGTCATTACAACAGAAACCACAGAAATTCAGAGGATCATCAGGGAGTACTTTGAGAAGCTTTATGCCACGGAACATCAAAACCTCGAGGAAATGGATAAATTCCTAGACTCCTACAGACTCCCAAGGCTGAACCAAGAAGACCTGGAATACCTGAACAGACCTATCACCATCAAGGAAATTGAAATGGTAATAAAAAGTCTCCCCAAGCACAAAAGTCCTGGCCCGGATGGATTCACTAGTGAATTCTTCCAAATCTTTAAAGAGGACTTACTCCCAATACTCTTTAAGCTTTTCCACGAAATTGAAATATCAAAAACACTTCCAAACAGTTTCTACGAAGCAAATATCACACTGATACCAAAAGCAGACAGAGATACCACAAAGAAAGAGAATTACAGGCCGATATCCCTGATGAACACAGATGCAAAGATCCTCAACAAACTACTAGCAAATAGAATCCAACTACTCATCAAAAAGATCATACACCATGACCAAGTAGGATTCATCCCAGGGATGCAAGGATGGTTCAACATTCGGAAATCAATCAACATAATCCACCATATCAACAAAAGAAAAGATAAAAAGCATATGATCATATCAATAGATGCAGAGAAAGCATTTGATAAGATCCAGCACCCCTTTATGATGAAAACCCTAGCCAAAATGGGTATAGAGGGGACCTTCCTCAACATAATTAAAGCCATCTACCACAAGCCTACAGCAAGCATCATCCTCAATGGGGAAAAACTGAGAGCCTTCCCTCTAAGATCAGGGACGAGACAGGGATGCCCACTCTCTCCACTGCTGTTCAATATAGTACTGGAAGTACTTGCAATAGCGATTAGGCAGGAAAAAGATATTAAGGGCATTCAGGTAGGAAAGGAAGAAATCAAGCTCTCACTATTCGCAGATGATATGATACTCTACTTAGAGAACCCAATAACTTCCACCAAAAAACTCTTAGAAACAATAGACTTGTATAGTAAAGTTGCAGGTTATAAAATCAATACCCAAAAGTCCATGGCTTTCCTATACGCAAACAGTGAGAGAGAAGAAAGCAACATGAAAAAAACAATCCCATTCACAATTGTGCCCCAGAAAATCAAGTACCTAGGAATCAGCTTAACTAAGGAAGTAAAGGACCTGTACAAAGAAAACTACAAAACGCTACTTCAGGAAATAAAAGAGGACATGAGGAAATGGAAAGATATCCCCTGCTCATGGGTCGGGAGACTTAACATTGTCAAAATGGCAATACTACCGAAAGCATTGTATAAATTCAATGCAATCCCTATAAGGATACCCATGACATTCTTCAAAGAAATGGAGCAAACACTCCTGAAATTTATATGGAACAATAAGCCCCCACGAATAGCTAAAGCAATTCTTGGGAAAAAGAAAATGGGAGGAATCAACCTCCCTAACTTCAAACTGTACTACAAATCAGTAATAATTAAAACAGCATGGTACTGGAACAAAGGCAGAACTGCAGACCAATGGAACAGGGTTGAATACACTGACATCTCTCCTCAATCATATGCTCATCTAATCTTTGATAAAGGTGCAAGTAATGTGAAGTGGAGTAAGGAAAGCCTCTTTAATAAATTGTGTTGGCATCACTGGACGGCTACATGCAAAAAAATAGGCTCAGAACTCTGCCTAACACCATGTACAAAAGTAAGATCAAAATGGATTAAAGACCTCAACATCAGACCAGAAACCATAAGGTACACTGAAGATAAAGTTGGCAAAACTCTCCATGACATTGAAGCTAATGGTATCTTCAAAGATGCCACGCCACTGGCCAAGCAAGTGAAAACAGAGATAGACAAATGGGACTATCTTAAACTAAGAAGCTTCTGCACCTCCAAAGAAACAGTGACCAAAATACAAAGACAGTCTACAGAATGGGAAAGGATATTCACCGAATACACATCTGACAAGGGGTTGATATCCAGGATATACAAAATACTGGTTAAACTCCACAAGAAGAAAACATCCAACCCCATCCAAAAATGGGGCAATGAAATGAACAGAAACTTTCTCAAAGAAGAAATCCGAATGGCAAAAAAGCACATGAGAAAATGCTCTACATCATTAATCATCAGGGAGATGCAGATCAAAACCACAATGAGATACCATCTCACACCTCAGAGACTGGCCCACATTCAAAAGAACAAAAGCAACCGATGCTGGCGTGGATGTGGCGAGAAAGGGACACTCCTTCACTGTTGGTGGGAATGCCGACTGGTTCAGCCCTTCTGGAAAACAGTATGGACGATTCTCAAAAAATTAGAAATTGAGCTCCCATTTGACCCAGCAATACCACTCCTGGGAATATATCCCAGAGAGGCAAAAATGTATAGTCGAAGTGACATCTGCACTTGTTTGTTCATTGCAGCCCTCTTTACAATAGCCAGACACTGGAAGAAACCTGAATGCCCAAGAACAGATGACTGGTTAAAGAAACTTTGGTACATCTACACAATGGAGTACTATGTAGCTCTTAGAAAAGATGAAGTCATGAACTTTACATACAAGTGGTACAATATGGAAAGTATCATGCTAAGCGAAATGAGTCAGAAAGAGAGGGATAGACATAGAAAGATTGCATTCATCTGGGGGATATAAAGTAACAAAGTATGAGATTAATACCCAAGAATAGATGAGATCAGCACCAGGAGGATTACTCCATAACTTAGAGGCCAGCCGGGTATCCTAGAGGAAAGGGCTATTCAGATAGAGAAGGGAGCACCAAATAAAGGATGTTTGGAGGATCCTCCCAGGAGGGGAGATGCATGTCGAAAGTAGACTATGGACTGAACATGTTTGCCACTCAATGCCTCTTTTGCAGACCACAACACCCAAAAGGAGAGAGAGAACACAGGGGATTGCCCTGCCACAGAGACGGGGGGATGGGGGGATGGGGGTGGGAGGGATATTATCCATGGTGGTGGAAAATGGGCACTGGTGGAGGGATGGGTATCTGATCATTGTATAATTGAAACCAAAGCACAAAAAATTGTAAATCTACAACTTTAAAAAAATAAAATAAAATAAAGGGGGAAAAAAATACATATGAGCATAAAGTAAGTAATTAGGAAAATGTTCATATGAATTTGTTTCTGTGATTATAAGGAAGGGATGCAAGTCTGCATGGCAGATCCCAATACCACCTGCCTTATCCTTGTAACTCTATGGCTACTCTGAAGGTGTCACATGTATTGAGGTGCCTTGTACACTAAAAATACTTTTTAAAAAATGGTGAGTGAGTCTACTTGCAAATGAAGACTGGGCTGGAAGAGAGCAAATCGTAAGTGGTTTTCTTAACGGATTTTTGTATTTTTGCTTATTTTCATATTGTGCTCTGGGGTCACACTTGGCAGTGTCAATAAACAGTGCCCGAATCAGAGTCCACCATGCGCAAGATAAGTTTCCAAAGGCTTCCACTACTATCTTTGATCCTATTTTCACCTTTCTGACTGCTGAACTTATATAACTTCTAAAAAACTTAAAGTTAAGTGTAATCTATTTCTTGGTAAGAAAAGCAATGAAGAAACTGCACAAAATGAAGCAATTAAACTTTTATTCTGATGTAATTAGATATCCACATTTAGCATCCCTTGATCAGACCATATGCCTATGTCTATTAAAGAAGCACATTTGTAAAAAAAACAGGAATTGTTATCTTAAGAATATAAATCCATGGTTAATGAGTAAAAAGGAAACAGAGTAAAAGTGAAATCAACATCAGATAAAAACTACACTTCACAAAAGGTAATGCTAGATCTTTACAAGGTACCTGCCATTTTACACAGAAGTCCAAAGGACAAATTAGCTTTCCTCAAGATGAATCTTAAATTTGAGGTATTTTTATTACTTTTCTTGGAAAGGTGGTATTATAAGCTGAGTGATAAAGAATTATTTAAAATGTTTCATTACTTCCAATTCCTGAGAGAAATTCTATCAATGTCACATATACAGCATGATGGCGAAAGAATATCAAACGTGCAAGCTAGCAGGACTCAACAGAGACGAGAGCAGATGCCCACATACAAAGTGACAATTTCCCTCCAAAGGTATGTGATCACCAGGGCAGCCCTGAGCGCCCAGCACCTGCAGTTGCCAGCACCAGAAGGCTGAGCAGCACCGCATCTCAGATGCAGCTGTCTGAGAATCGCCGACGCGGTACCTGGGCCTTCCCTCTACTACCTGGGAGCTCCTCCCACTCCCAAATAAATAATAAAACTATATATGATTAACACAAAAGACACCCAGACTTGTTTCAGAAACATGATGTTCTTTGTATCTAAACCAAACGTATCTTCATGAACTATGATGTGCACATACAGACTATCATGAATGTATATGTCTAAGTCCTATAAAATATTTGTGAAGATGGGAAACCTTTTTTTATGAGTATAAAGAAGCATAATTGTCATTCATTAGAGCGGAATTCTCTTTGTTTAAAGAGTCTGAGGTTTTCATGTCTGTTACTACTTCCTTAGCTAGCATTTTAACCACAAAGTGTTTCCCAGGAAGCAAGTTTGCTACAGTGACACATGAATATCCAAAGGCAAAAATGAGGATAATTTACTGTCAATAGTTAGTTCAGTATTTCTTAAATTCTTAGCCCTTCCAGAAGTTGTTATGTGGGACTCATATAACTAATAACAACTCCACAAAGAAACCAAAGTGCTTTTCTCTCTGCTTACCATACAGGCACATCGATAGTCATAACCGTCAGACCCCTGTCTAGGTCACTTAAAGGTTTTGACTCATGGTACCCAGCCTGAACTCTAGCAGTTAGTGTGTGGTATGTTCCCAAAGGTTCACATTAAAATACTTAACAGAACCCCAGTGAACTAAAGGGAACTCCCTTAGGCCCCCTCCCACTCCATCCTGATAGAGGAGGAAAGATGTGGGGTACCCTGCAAATCTCCACTCTGTTGGCAGCCTCCTCCATTTCTTCCCTGAGGGCATCAGCTTTGGCACCTGTAGGCTGTAAGCTGCTGGACAAACCTGAAGACTTGGAAGTCTGTTGCCACCTGATGGAAAATAGAAGAAAAATCGTAAGTGTGAATCAAGATAGAACACTGGGAATGCCATGGAGATAGCAAAAGAACAGCTAGTTACAAAGATTACCCAGGGGATCACACACACTCAAACAAAAATGAAGTGTATCAAGTATCAGACTAGGAGGCAGGGAGCTCAAATCTCCAAGTTTCATTGTTGACAGAGCTGAGGCTGCATTGCCCCTCGAGATGGAACAAATGTGCCCTGGGCTGCTGAACACCGCCCCTACTTTCCTCTGCACACTGATAACACCACCACTTGACTGGAAATTTTCATCCTCTTAGCTGAAGTCAATCATGTTTGCTAGATGGAAAAATGGGTAACATTAAAAGCATATCTTTTTTGTTTGTTTTCTTTTTGGGTCACACTCGGCGATTCTCAAGGCTTATTCCTGGCTCTGCACTCAGGGATGACTCCTGATGGTGCTCGGGGGACCAGATGGGATGCTGGGAATCGAACCCAGGTCAGCCGTAGGAAAGGCAAATGCCCTACCCGCTGTGCTATCACTCCAACCCCTAAAAGCATATTTGAGAGCTAACACTTCCACTTATAAGCAGAAAACAATGTCTTGTCAATTTTTAGATACATCATTTATGTGTTCTTAAACACGTCTTTTCCTGGAGAGTGAAAGCCTTTTGGGGGAGCCATTTCTGAATCTTTCATGAGAAAGAATAAACTTCTGATTGTCTTTACCAAAAGTTGGCCTAGAGTCAAGATTCCAATTGTGCTAAGTACTCAGAGCTATAGAAGTGAACAGCACTTCACCTTTTCCACTGAATTTGCAAATTCTAACTTAACAGATTTACTAATAGTAAGAAAGATATAACAAATGGGTCAACCTTGGTTATGGAGCCAAAAAATATTAAGGTATGTATCAGTTCTAAGAAAAGCAATCATGTAATAAAGATGACCAAACATTGCAGCCAGGAAGTCAGAAGAGATGGGGAGGGGTAGATGGAGACGGGGGTTTCTGGAGTGGGGGAGAGGACACACTGACTTATCTGGAGAGCAGCTACACTACACACTGGGCTGGTGGCATCCAGGCAGGAGGGAGGTCTGGGTTGCCAGATGTCTCAGCTGACAAACTGGTAACTACCAGGTAGATGTGTTGAATTGGAAACTACTCCTGGTGAAATATGAAATATTTCATAAATGAAATATGAAATTTTCATAAATTTCAAAAGATGAAATATTTTCTCCTAAATACCAGTTAGGCTGATAGTGTACTGACAAAACCAGACAACTATATGTATGCTGTATCTGTCTCACACCATCCAACATAGAGGCAACAGTTGCGACATCAATCTCCCTATAAGAGTTAAGTAGCTAATCACTAGGTACTTTGATATACATTTTCCCCCTCATCTTTTTTTGTTTTGCTTTGTATTGGGGTGCCATATTTGTTAGTGCTCAGGTCTTACTCCTGGCTCTAGGCTCAGGGATAATGACTAGCAGGGTTCAGGGGACTACAGTGAGTGCTTGTGGAACTATACAGGGTGCATGCAAAGCAAGCACCCTAATCTACTATACAATATCCAGCCCAAAAAGAAAGCGAAGACTCTGGGGCTCTATAGTACAAGAGAGGAAAAATTAGTTTTCTGTTACTAGCAGAAAGTAGAATAATTAAGAAATTTTTACTTACTTTATCCATGGGAAATTTACACAAGGTTTTGAGAGAATAAGCTAGTTTGAAACATCTAAAAGTTGACACAAATCCTGTCAAACATTCCCGACAACAACACAATAATTTACAACAAACTAGAAAGCAAATAATCTATTATATACTATTTAAAGACATTTAAATATAATATCTAAAATAATAATTAGTAAATATTCCTAGGAAATATTTTTCTAAATGTTTTCTCTAAATAATTGATATATTTATTTTATATTGGCTAGAAAAAGCCACTGAAAATAAAGTATTAATGTTTTATGGGGGTTTTTGTAATAAAAAGTAAGTGAAGTTACGGCTATAATTTACATATCAAATAATATCACCAGGGTGGATTATAAAATAAAGGTACATTAATTGTCTGATACATGCTACTTGGTGAAAAGCAACTAAGTAATATCTATCTGTATAAAAAGAAAGTACTAACACTAAGCTAATTTACATGGTTTTACAGATCATGATATATTTTTTTAATTTTTATTAGTGAAACACCATGAGGTACAGTTGTAGAGTTACAAATTTTTGTGCTTGGGTTTCAAGTATACAATGATCAAGTACCCATCCCTCCACCAGTGCCCATCCTCCATTACCACGGGTCCCAGTATCCCTCCCACCCCCCATCCCCCATCCCCCCCTGCCTCTGTGGCAGGGCATTCCCTTTTGTTCTCTCTCTTTTTGGGGGTGTTATGGTTTGCAAGAGAGGCATTGAGCAGCAATCAGGTTTGGCCTATGGTCTACTTTCAGCATGCTTCTCCCATCCTGGGAGGATCCTCCCAACACCCTTTATTTGGTGCTCCCTTCTCTATCTGAGCTCCCTTTTCCCCTAGCATGTGTGGCTGGTCTCCAAGTCATAAAGCAAAATTCCTGGTACTAACCTCGGCCACTCTTGGGTGTTAGTCTCCGATTTTGTTACTTTATGTTCCCCAGATGAATGCAATCTTTCTATGTCTATCCCCCTCTTTCTGATTCATTTCACTTAACATGAAACTTTCCATGTAGTACCACTTGTATGTAAATTGATCATGATAGATTTTTCTCCCCAAATTTTATTTTATTAGAGCACCATGAGTTACAAAGTTATTCATAGTTGGGCTTTACAATATTCCATCAACAATCCACCACAAAGTCAACTTCTCTTCAATAGTGTTCCCAGGATCCCTCTTCCCAACTGCCCCCATCCCAGCCTGCATTTTAAGTTTGGCCTCGTGATTTCAGTGTTGCTGACTCTGTGCTTTAGACAGTTAGCTCTATCATTCCTCAAAAGCACAGTTTTACATGAACCTCCTTGATCCCTAACCCTGCTGCTTCTCACCTCTTCTGCCTTTTCCTTTACTCTACCTCTTTCCTTCTCAGCCCAGACTCTGGGACGAAGGGTGATCTAGACATCCACCTTTAAGCCATTGCATTTCCTCATTTACTTATGAAATTAGATTATTTTTAACATGAATTATACTAAACATATATTAAAATAAGACACGTTTCCCCTCAAGTCACCTCTTTTCTCTCTGATTCCCCGTAAAGTTACCCTTAAGTTTCCCTCAATCATAGAGAATTTTCTTAATGATATGCAGGTACTTTACTTCAATCTTATAAAACAGTGACAAAATGTGGTAAGACTAGTCTTTTTGTGGAAATCAAATGACAAAATTTCAAAAGAAAAAAAAGAAAGAAAATGTTGTACAGGTTGTATTTGCTTGGAAAAGTGACATCAATCATGAACACCAGGGTATAGAGAAATTTTCACTCATCTGTTTTACATAAACTCAAGAATTATACTGTTGCGTGAAAGTAAAAAAATCTTTAATCCAAAAAGAATTTAAGGAACAAAAAGTTATAAAACATAAATTAGATACTATCAATGATATAACACGATCAATATGTCATGACATATCTCTGGCAAACATGCAATTACTTATGATCTTGGGAAAATAAAGACAGAATATAAACGTTAGTGAAGACTAAAGTGGGGAAAAAGGCCAATACTAACAGTATAAAATTTCCAAGACCAAGAGAAGTGTGAAAAAAAAAGCGAATGCAAGATCAGTAAGCACAGAAGACAAAGTTGTAAAATGAAATTTTAAAAATTTTCCTTAGTGACATAGTTATAGTTCCAACTGTACTGCCTTTATTTAAACAAATAATTGGAACAAAGGTAAAGGATTTATGCTGGGAGCATCTAGTGACCAACCCCCTTCCAAAAAAAAACCCCATAATATATGTCAGAAAGCATGCTTATGTACAGACCCATTATCCCTGGTGGACCTAGATGCAAGATCCTCAGCAAAACCTTGGTGAACATGGCTGAAGAGAGAGTACTGTGGGAAGGGCACTTTCCTTGCGGATGGCGAACCTGGGTTTCATCCCCAGCATCCCAGATGGTCCCCTGAGCATCACCAGGAGTAATTCCTGAATGCAAAGCCAGTAATAACCCCTGAGCATCGCAAAGTGTGGTCCAAAAACCAAAACAAAAAGCCAAAACAATAAAAAAAAACCCAACTTGGTGAAAAAATTTCAGCAATATATTAGAAGGATCTTACATCATAACTAGTTAGCACTTATTCCAAGCATGCAAGATTGTTTTAGCATATCCAGAAAATTATTTAACTGAAAGATAAAAGGCTTAGATCACATAGAAATAAACAGAAAGATTTTGGAGGCTCAATATCCAATTATAAAAAAGCTCTCAACAAAATGAGGTTAAGAAGGAACTTACTTCAGCACAGTAAAGCCAAATACTATACTAATGACATACTCAATAAGAAAAAATGATGCTCGTTAAGAAAAAAATTGAAAGTCTTTTCTCTAAGATCAATATATATGTATGTGTGTGTACATATATATGTATATATATATATATACAATCTAGTAGAGAGAAATCATAACTGCCATGAGTGTATGCCATACAGTGTATGACGGTGGCGAAGTGTTGAGAAATTTGTCTTATCTTTTAAAGAAGATCTTTTAATACTTCTTGCAAAATTGGTCTCAAGAGAATAAATTCCCTAAGATATTGCCTGTCTGTGAAGCTCTGTATTGTTTCTTCAAATCTGAATGTTAATCTATCTGAATAGACTATCTTGGTGAGGTGTTTACTTTATTGATTTTTTCCCCTATAGTTGTTCACCATTCTCTCTGGCTTTAATCAAACTCATTTGATAAATACACTATGAATAATATGGGCTTTCCTTTGTATGTAAGTTCCATTTTTGATCTTGTTGCATTCAATACTCGGTCTCAGTCTTTGGCTTCTGTCGTTCTGATTACTGAATGTCTTGGAGTTGTTCTATTTGGGTTATTTTT